AAAAAAAAAAAGAGGCAGCGAGCGTCTGAGGGGGAAAATCGAGGCCAGGAAAAAGAGGAAGAAGCGCTTTAAAGCCGGAACGATTGCCACAATTACGACTTAATTAAAACTCTAATTTAGACAGAGACAGAGTGATTAGTTAGGCCACTGTTTTTCAACCACTGTGCCTCGGCACACTAGTGTGCCGTTAGTGATGGTCAGGTGTGCCGTAGAAAATCATCCTATTTCATCTAATTGGTCTAAAAAGACTTTTTGATAAGGAATGAATTTTCTGCAAATAATATTCCATTTTTGAGTGTCTGTGCTGTTCTAGTGACTGGTGGAGTAATCATGTAATAATTCCTAATGACTAGATTTTGTATATAATTTTGCATATTGAAGTGGACATGTTAAGTGCAATTTGAAAGAAGAAATATAAAATAAGATGAAAATACATGTTTGTGTTTATTTGATTCCTATTCATGACACTTAAGGTAAGATAAGAATAAAATAAGAATAACTATAGTGTTACTATAGGCGGCTAAAGATTTGTTTAACATTTTTGGTCGGTGGTGTGCCTCGAGATTTTTTCAATGAAAAACTGTACCTCGGCTCAAAAAAGGTTGAAAAACACTGAGTTAGGCAGCGAGAGGCCGGCTGAAAGAGGACAACAAGAGCTCCAAGACTCAATCAGAGCGAACCGACGGGCCCACGCTGATGAAAAGTAACTTTTTATCAGACAGGCCCCTACACTCAGCTCTTTTAAAACCCTTTTAAAGACCCACTTTTACTCTCAGGCCTTTGAGTGAGACTTCGACTTTATTTTAGTTGTCTTAATTTCCCTCTCGTACTTGGTTTTGTTTTTTGTATTTTTTTGCTCTTACTGTTTTTAATCTTTGAGTTTGTCTTGTGTTGTGGTGATAATTGTGTTTTCTGATTCGCTCAAATGGCCTGTACAGCGCCTATTCTTTCCCCCCCCCGTACCTCACTAATTTATCCAATGCTACGTTCAGCATTTTCTGGTCTGTCGTTGCAGATCAACATTGCACATTTCAATTGTTCATTTGTACAGTCGGATCTATATTTTGAAAGATTGTATGTTTCAGTTTGATCATTTCAGTCCTATATTTTTATTTCTACATTTTATTTATTGCTTCTCATAGAAGTGTTGTGTTGTGCACCAAACACCAAGGCAAATTCCTTGTAAGTCTAAAAACCTACTTGGCAATAAACCTTATTCTGATTTTAGCTTTGGCTGACTGAAAGCGCTTTAAAAAATAAAGTTGAGTTGGGTTGAGTTGAGTTGAGCATAGAGCCGTGCATGCCGTACGGATGCTAACCGGGGGGGAAAATAGAAGGAGGAAGGCCGGGAGAGGAGGATGGAGGGATGGAGGGATGGAGGGATGGAGGATGGAGGGGTTGGCAGACTAAGTGGCTGCGGCCCACATAATGTAATCTGGGCTTCCTAGAACCACGGCACGCTTGTCAAGGCTAAGGTCAAATGCCTGACATTATCAAGACACAACAAAGTCTCTGCTATCAGTCGCTAGCTCCTATCCCTCTGTGCACGTGTGTGTGTGCGTGTATATGTGTGTGTGTGCGTGTGTGTGTGTGCGTGTATATGTGTCTGTGTGTGTGCATGTACAGTGGGGGAAATAAGTATTTGACCCCTTGCTGATTTTGCAAGTTTGCCCACTTACAAAGAATGCAACGATCTATAACTTTAATCATATGTACATTCTAACAGTGAAAGACAGAATCCCAAAGAAAATTCCAGAAAATCACATCATATGAATTTATAAAAATTGATAACCATCTGATGAGGAAAAATAAGCATTCTTTGTAAGTGGGCAAACCTGCAAAATCAGCATGGGGTCAAATACTTATTTCCCCCACTGTATATGTGTGTGTGCGTCTATATGTGTGTGCTTACGTGTATATGTGTGTGTGTGCGTGTATATGTGTGTGTGTGTGTGTATATGAGTGTGTGTGTGTCCCTGGGAGTGCGTTTATTTACCCAGGGAGGATTATTTTGATCTGGCACTCTGTGCGATAGGGAAATTACGCAACGGCGTGCATGAGATACCGGCGTACCGACGTCAGCCACACACGTGCGCGGTGTCCCGGGATACTTGGCAGAGTTCAGTTGGGGAAATTTTTTTTATAAAAAAAAAAAAAAATCATAATAATGTGCTGAGCGGGAGCTCGTCCTGCATGTTTGGGGACAGTTTGGGAAGTGAGGACAGCATGACGAACAGCTATCAGCAAAAAGGGAGATAGCACCACAGGGGGGAGGGGGGAGTGACCTTAAAACAGTGTTTTTCAACCACTGTGCGAGTGATGGTCAGGTGTGCCGTAGAAAATCATCCTATTTCACCTAATTGGTCTAAAAGAAAATTTTTGATAAGGAATTCATTTTCTGCAAATAATATGCCATTTTTGAGTGACTGTGCTGTTCTAGTGACTGGTGGCGTAATCATGTAATAATTCCTTATGACTAGATTTTGTATATAATTTTGCATATTGAAGTGGACATGTTAAGTGCAATTTGAAAGAAGAAATAGAAAATATGATAAAAATACATTTTTGTGTTTATTTGATTCCTATTCAAGACAATTAAGATAAGAATAAAATAAGAAAAACTATAGCGTTACTATAGGCGGCTACAGATTTTTTGAGAAGGAGAGAGCCAGATCCCGATAGTGGATGCATAATAATTCCTTATGACTAGATTTTGTATATAATTTTGCATATTGAAGTGGACATGTTAAGTGCAATTTGAAAGAAGAAATAGAAAATATGATAAAAATACATTTTTGTGTTGATTTGATTCCTATTCAAGACACTTAAGGAGAGAGCCAGATCCCGATAGTGGATGCGGGGGTATGGGGTGTGTGTGTGTGTGTGTGTGTGTGTGTGTGTGTGTGTGTGTGTGTGTGTGTGTGTGTGTTTGGGGGAGGGCAGCTCTGCAATCTCTGGCAGAGATAGCTCTGACGCACTATCGCGCACACATTTCACACACTTCACACACTCGAGCCGTGGCATTCGGGGTGAGGAACCGACCGGGTTTCGCTCCGAGGCTGAACCTGGATGCTGAGAGCAGGAAGGAAGCGGCCGCTTTGATTCGGTGGCTGAGCAGACGCCCGGGTGACGTAAGAAGAAAGAGGAAAAAAAGAAAAAGAAACAGCCCAAAC